AAATATACTTAGTAAAGTATGCTTAACAAAGTAGCTGATACAGGATTTCAGTCAATAATAAAAAACTGACAATTTGCTGTCTGTTCATGTCTGAGAAAGCTGCCTCTCAGTGGACTGGCTATGGTGTTTTCTACTATATATCCTTAAAATAATTGTAGAGCTATCTGGTATACAAACAAAATGAGAATGTAAATTTCCCTATATGATAACACTTTTCAATTTTACCTACAGTATCATGGTGTGGAGAGGAAGATTGGACACACTTTCTGTCAGAAAATTGAAAGCCTTATTGCATGAGAAAAGATAGCTGAAACACAGCAGGAGTGTAGCAGGTTTCTCCATGTCTCTCCACATATCATCATAGTATAGTACTTCCGTTCTTTTCCTGAGGGAGATGGTTGTAAAAGTGTGCCTTTTTTTGAACAGATTTTTCCAGTGTGACAAAAGATACACTTTTATGTTAACCTCCTTGGGAAGAGAGCGGAAGTGCCAAGGCATCATGCAGAGAGGCATGGAGAAAACTGGTACTCTCCCATTCTATTTCTGCTTTCTTTTCTCATGTGATAAGGCTCTAAGCTAAGGCCTTCAGTGGAATAAGAAATGGTATGTGCCTGCAGCTTACACTGTATTATTATAGTCTGTAGAAACTACGGAGCAAACATTTAATTTCATTTTCTGGAGTTGAAAGAGCTGGGTCAAAACATTTTGCTGCTTGAGACAGAATGACAAATGATATTGCTCATTCTTTGTCTCCCCTGTCAAGGTTCGTAGTACTTGAGGCTAGCTGAATTATTTTGGAACTGTGATTGAAAGGGGGGGAATCCCACATCCATCTTTCCCTGGAAGTGAACAATCAACAGCAACAGTAATAATAATACATAACATGCTTCCTTTAATGAAACCCCAAATCTTAATTCTTAGGCAGATGTTTCACTCTGCCAAAAGAAAGAGCTGGCCCTGTGGCTGAACATGGCAGATCATGCTACCCAGATCTAGCCAGAAGTAAAATTCAAAGATATAGCTGTGTTAGTCTGTAGAATCAGTATGTAGAGAGATCTTGTAGCACCTTTGAGACTAACTGAAAGAAAAAGTTTGCAGCATGAGCTTTCGTAGACATGAGGAAGCTACGAAAGCTCCTGCTGCCAACTTCTTTCTTTCAGTTAGTCTCAAAGGTGCTACAAGATCTCTCTAGCCAGAAGTAAGTCTAATGAATTTCCAAAAGGTTTGTTAATTATAAGATTGTAAGTTTTGAGCCACTGATTGTGTGTGTGTGCGCGCGCACGCACATTTCTTTTGTTTCTTTCAAATATCAACCTAAAGACCACAAAAAGGCATCTTTGTGAGAGGGGTAATGTTAGAGAAGTCTTGAAAGCCACTGAGAAGTCCAGTAAGATAGCAAGACACTCCTGTGCTCTCTTTGCTTTGGTTCTCCAGACACAGATTTTTCCATACCCTCCAACTTTTCCATTTGGCAGAGTGAGTCCCAATTAATCTTCTGCCATCCCACTTTTCCAGCTGCTTTTAAAATGCCCCAGTTTCTCTTCCCACTTTCCCTCTTTGTCCTCAGCTTTCTCTAACTTACTTACTGCTACAAACTGAGTTCAAAGTGTAAAAGTAGTTGCACTCAGTTAATTCAGGGGAAGGGAGAAGTGTGATAGAATCTTGCTTTTCTCAGTAAACTCCAGCAAAAGCAAACTGCTGCAGTGCCTCCTAGTTTGTATGTTCTCCCACACTGATAACTTTGCCATCATGACCACACTCTGATTTTACTTGGCCAAATGTGTCCCAGTTTTCATCTGTGAAGTGTTGCAGACCATGTTTTCCACATTCTGTACATTCAGTTTCAAAGACTGTCTGAAGCCTAACTAGATTGAGAAACAAATTTTAAAAATGAATTATTGAAACTAAAACAACATAGGATGCTTCACCACCTCATGAATCAGAGTAGAGAATTTGAAACTGGTACATCATTTACATGATGTTCTGTATCCAGAAAGGGCTTGTTAAGGAATAAAAGAGCATAATCTGCTTTAAAATGGATGATAACGTTCATAATTTTTTTTAACAAGTAAGACTATTTTGTTTGGCAGATTAAGATGGGCAAGAGATCATCCACAATCCAAACAAAATATTAAGAAAGTCTATGAAAGCTTTTGACAAATAAAATGTTTCTGTTCTTAAGGTGTCACTGGCTCTTGCTTGTTGTTTGAGCTGCCCCCTCAATAAATACGAACAATATTGTGGAAAGTATGCATATATTAAGCATGCCTTGGTGCTTGCCAATGTTCGATAAGAGAAGTGAGAAGATGTGTGCTTCCAACGTTTCATGTTTTATTCAAAAATCTTAACGAAGTTTATCAGCCAGTTCCTGAGAGTACTATCAACTAGCTGTCTTAGTCAAGCAGCCCCAAATACTTTGTTATTCCTCGTACAGCCTAGCTTTCTGCAATAAATCAGAAGAGGAAATGTTAGAAAGAAAGGTATAGTCACAAGTGTAGGCCCATTCATCACTGTGGTCCATTAATGTTAGGCCAGGTTTCGGAAGGGCCTAAACACCCCCTAAAGGCACCAAATCCCATCTGATCTTGGAAGCTAAGCAGGGTCACCACTGCACCCCCTAGTGACATCAGCTTTAGATTTGAAAAAGAAATATGAGAATGCTCGCACTCTCCTTCCCCTCTATCCTTTGTGGCAGGGCTGAGTATGAACTGTGTGTTAATCTTCAATGGTTCACTCTAGCATGGTAAACACCATTCTCTCCTTATAGGACAGGGGTGGGCAACTGCTTTGAGTTGGTGATATGCACCCTGCAACTCTGTGTCAGCTCTATAGTACAAGAGAGAGTAAGAATATCCTCCTGCAGCATAGAGACTTGAGTGAAGACAAACTAAGGTGTCTCACAAAGTTGGGAAAGTGATGTTTAGTTGCAGGAGGAGACTTACACACCTATCGCAATGGAATGACATGATTTTTCGAGATGTGGCAGCAGCTATATTTTTGGTGTATCAGTTGCACCTGTTTCAGTAACTGTAGAGGGGCACCAGTGTGGGCCACACAAATGCCCACCCCTGCTAGAGTCCAAAATTTTAATTGAAACTATGCAATTGTAAATAGCCTTGTGGGTGTTTTGATAGATCAAGAAGCCTGAAAACAGAAAAAGATAGTCAAAGGATACCCACAAAAATTACCTTAAATAGTCACTAATGAAATCTTAGAAATGCAAGGGTACCTTTTGCAGATCTCAGATAATGTTTAGTTGCCTCTGGACATTTGGCTGTTGAATAGATGCTTATGTTGGGCAAGGTATTCTATTCCATGTACATTATTCCATGTCAATGCCTGTTCTTGCTATCTCTGGGTAAAAGGCTTCAGTATTTGGCCCCAACATTTTGTACAGAAAGCACTGTTTCTTTCCACAATGTCAAATTCTAATTCTCAGTTTCAAAGAAAAAACATTTCATAATGGTCAGGTAGTTTCTCTTGGGCTTTCTGGACAAAGTTTCCCTCCCTCCCTTGCAGTTGAAGAGAATTTTTCTACACAGATATGCATTCTCTCCACAGAAAACTGTTTGTGTTTGTGTGGGTTGCTTTTGTAAAATACCTACTCGCGATTTGAAATTAGAAAGCAGGTGGTGTTCCTCAGGTATTTCCTCGAATTCTGCAAAGATTAAGGTAAACACAGTCAAACATTTAGTTATAGTAAATGATGCTATTTAAATGTTAAGTTGAATCATATTGGATCACCTTAACATTGTCGCTAAATGTAATCTACTACACGGGGCTGATGCTGTTGACTGCCCAGAAACTCAACTATTGTGAACATACTATGCTGGTGCTGGATTCCCATAACCACATTTAGGACAACGGTGTTATATATCTGACAAATTGTCCCCTTCAGTGTTGTGATAGACTTAGCATGAGGACTGTCTTAAGCAGAGAGAGAGGGAGAGATTCTCGATGGCTTCACTACCATCTTGGTTTGCTTTTCTTTTTGCAGTCTCACAGGACTTTAAGGTGGGAATGAAAAGGATGTGGCCTTCCAGATTTTCTTGGACTGTGCTTCCCATCATTATTCATTATGATGGGCTAAGGCTAATAGGAGTTGCAGTCCAACATTTGAAGGACCACATGTTCCTCATCTTGAAGAAACACACAGCTGAGCTAGCTATTAGAGATAATACCAACTGGTTTATTCCTATGGTGTGCATTCTTCAGTGCTCAGAAAAGTTACAATTTGAACTGTTGTTGTTGTTGTTGTTGTTGTTGTTGTTGTGTGCCTTCCAGTCATTTCTTACTTATGGCAACTCAGAGATGACCCTATTGCAGGGTTTTCTTGGTAAGATTTGTTCAGAGGAAGTTTGCCATTGTCTTCCTCTGAGGCTGTGTGTGTGTGACTTGATCAAAGTCACCCAGTGGGTTTCCATGGCTGAGCAGGGATTCGAACCCTAGTCTCCAGAATCATAGTCTAATGTTTACTCTCTACTCTTTGGACTACAGCCCTTAAAAACCCTGGTTGTAGTCTAAAAAAGTAACATTTCCAAGTTCAGTATGCTATGTTATTACTGCGTTTTAGTATCATCAGTATTTCCTAGCTTTTGTATTTGGGATGACTCAAAGTTTAAACCACCAATTCCTAGATTTTGGTCCTCTGATCAACTCAAATAGAAGCCCTAGCCAGCTTGCCAGAAGTCAGGAATTCTAGGAGCTGAAGTCCAAAATATATGGAGGACCAAAGTTTGGGAACCACTGCTTTAAACAAACAAACAGAATAAATGAAATAAGGCAAAAGCAGAATTGAAGAGTTTTAGGCCCAGGTATACAGAGCCAGCATGGTGTAGTGGGTTGAGTGTCGGACTAGGACTCTGGGGGACCAGGATTTGAATTATCACTTAGCTATGGAAACTCATGGGATGACCTTGGAGAAGAGGAAAGCAGTGGCAAACTTTCTCTGAATAAATCTTGCCAAAAAAAAAAACTCCATTGTAGAGTTGCTGTTAATTGGCATGGTGTAGTGGTTTGAGCATTGGACTATGACTCTAGAGACCAGGGTTCAAATCCCAGCTCAGCCATATAAACCCATTGGGTGACATCGGGCAAGTCACACCTTCTCAGCCTCAGAGGACAGCAATAGCAAACCCCTTCTGAAGAAACTTGCCAAGAAAACCCCATGATAGATTCACCATAGGCCTCCATAGGTTGGAAACAACTTGAAGGCACAAAACAACAAACAGCAACAAAGTCAGAGTCAACTTGAAGGCAACATAGCACAGCATAAAGCACCGCCGTTTTCATGCAAGAAACAAAGAAGTGGCAAGCTTTGTGCTAAGAAGACAAAGTTTGCAGCTGTGCCATCTGCCTTTTTTGTCTGTGGGAGGGTTGTTGACATCAAAAAGATGTTGCTTGACTTTGGGGAAGCATTTTAATTCCACCGACAGAGAAATTAGGGCTGGCAGCCTTTTTGACAATTAACAAGAGAGACGAAGGAGAAGAAGACTGCAACGTGACCGGGGAGATAGAAACACCGTTCCTACGCAGATACTAATAGCAGGGTTAGAACATTCACTTCCCACATGTGAGTTTCAGAAATTGCCCCTCCACAATCTCTTCTCCCTCCCAAGATTATCATACTCTCTAAATGCTGAGAAGATGGGGAGGGGTTTGCAAAGTTGACTGAAATATCGATACTCCAACTTTTATTTGGAAATGTAAAGACTGAACAGCCACTGACTGAGCATCAATAAACATTACATTAATATAAATTAACATTAATAAATAATAATAATTGTTGTTATTGTTATTATTATAGTTATTTGTATCCCACTTTTGTCCCAAAAATGGGACTCAAAGTGGCTTACAGTACAATTAAAAACCTAACAAAGGTGATACATTAACATAGAATTAAATTATTACAATATTAAAACAGATTGCTTGTTAAAAGAATAAAATACATTTAAAAATATAAATAAAAGTTCTAGGTTCAGCATACACTTTCTTATTTGAGGGTTGATGACTCTTTGCCTTAAAACAGTCAATCCCCTTCTGCCCATTTAGGCAGAAGTGATACTTGGGGGGCAGGTTTCTGCCATAGTTGATATGGCGATTTGTATCTTTCCAACTACACCAATTCAGTGGTTTAAATCACACACACCTCTCCTTTTAGCTTGTTCCCCCCCTCCAGCTGCTACTAGAGATTAGAAACTAGGCAGAGGTATAATTTGCAAGAAGGGCAAAATGAGGGCTTTGACCCTCCAAATAAAAATACCCCCCCATTAACTTTTCTTTCAGTCCCCATGTTTCTAGCACTGAAAAGGACAAGACACGGAATATCATTCACATCTAGAACCCTTATATTTTCTGTGTTGGCATTCCCTTGATAACTCTGCCTGCCCCCTTTTCTTGGGATGCCCAAACTCTGTTCTAAATGATCAATTTAATTAATTTAATTAATTAACATAAGTAACAACAAACAGTTCCCTGACACTCCTAAAATTAGACTGTTAAAATCTCAGCTCCCCAGTAACTATGACGTGGACATGAATTTATTATATATTCCAGCGTACAGGGCAAGGGTGACAAATTTTGAAGTACAGGTGCTCATTGTTACAGTCTCCTTGAACACAGTTCGACATTGTTACAATCCCCTTGAAAGTCCAGACAGGCAAGCATCTTTGCTGATCCGTAGCAACAAACCAGTTCTTGCAGTTTTCATCTTTACCCAGAACAGTTTTTTTTTTGGTAAAATGAATGGATCTTAATTGCATTTGAGATGCTAAGCCATCCCCAAATCCTCCTCTTTATAATTGGGATAGCTCACATCACTGTATACTTGCTAGGAAAACCTGATCCACACATCCAGTTCACTCCAATTCCTGTTAGGAATACAGCTAAACTCAGGGCTTTTGCAGACTGCTAGAAATAATGCAAATTGTGTCCACTTTAACTGCCCTGGCTCAGTGCTAGGGAATCATGGGAATTGTATTTTTTTCTGAGACATTGAGCCTTCTCTGTCAGAGAGCTCTGGTGCCACAATAAACTATAGTTCCCATGATTCCCTAGCACTGAGTCAGGGCAGTTAAAGTGGACTCAATTTGCACTATTTCTGGCAGTCTGCAAAGGCCCTCAGAGAGAACAGAGAAGGCTCAGTGGGTTGATGGATGGCATCATACCTCCTGCTAATTTAAAACCCCGCTGCTTCAGCTCTACAAACACATTGTTGTTAGGGTATTAATTGGTTCTGTCCTTTGAGAGACCATTTTGCATTTGGCTCCATCTTCACCATGATGCTATTCTGCATCCAGAATACAGAATAGTGTGTTGGACTTCTAGGAAGGCTGTTGGGCTTTTTGGGGGTTGCAATTGTCAACGCTGACCTTCTGGCGTCTTCTAGAGAGCATCGTGGTGATGCTGCTCTCACATTAGCTGGCTTTTAAAAGCCATGAGCCACTACAACAAAAGGAGTGGTTACTGGCTGCTTTTTGATAAATATAGTGAAGGATCCACTTGCCTGCCAATCCAGTTCAGATTGTCTCCGGTCATAGGTTGGCTTTCGATCTCTGATCCTTTTGAGGATAGCCTGGTTCTCCATGGTAATCCTCACAACTTCCATGTTCTGCTTCTGTCGCAATTTGCTACAAATTCCCAAAAGGCCATGTTTAATGTGGGTACAAGAAAGGAGGCTGATTTGGGCTTGGTAGCCATGTCAGTAGAAAAAAGAATATATTCCAAAGATATGCAGGCTGATGATCATCATTTATATTTAGCTATACTTCCAGCAGACCTCTAATCAATGGGACTTAAATCAAGCAACAAGCATCTGAAGTCCCATCGATCTGAACAATTTTAGGCATCACTACATCTGAATCCAACCTACTGCATTTGAGCACACAGCTTATAGGTCATATTTTACTCTAACATAAAGGACATTATAAACTCTCTATATACTCATGGTAATTTATGGAATGACTTGTTAGCATATATTATACTCACAGGTATAATGTAAATAAGCATGTATTGATTCACTTCTTACCGGTATAACTATTTATTATGATAAATTTATTACTGTTGAAATGTAATCTATTCTTAGTAATGAATTCAAGTCCTGCTCTTAAAAAAAAAAAAACCAGCAGGGAAGGCACACAGCTCCTGAAGATGTATTATTCAATTTGGAAAAGTTCTCTTCTACACAGAAATTGATCCTATTAAAATCCTTTTATCTCTTTCTGGAACTGGATGAATTTCCAGGCTTCTCCAAGGCTTCAGTACCAAACACTGACATACATTTCTGCTATAGCATAAGCTTACTGATGGTAAACGATGCCGCAGGTGGTACATACACAGCAGAGAAGTATTCCAGCCCTTCTGCTATTAAGGTCCACCAGTCCCTCCCAGCCAGTGGTAGAACTGGGCCTCCAGCAAATTCTACCCAGCCTTAACCCTCAAACAGCAATCAAATCAAATTCCTATTGGTAGGAGGAGAGGGAAACTGGGACATTTTGCAAAAGCAGTTGAAAAAGTGGGATGACAAAGGATTAAGCAGAAGTGTCCCTGCCAAATCAGGCCAGTTGGAAGGTATGGGCCAATATCATCCCAGGGTCTGTGAGTTCAGGTCAAAACCTGAGACCTAGGGACAACTCTAGGCCTTGGTGATGTTACAAGTGTGGTGTAGCAATGGACAGTCCTGGTAATGTCATAAAACATATAAAGCATCAACTCCAATTGCACCAATTATGTCATTAATTAAAAGACACACACACACACATCTAATAAGTGAGTAAAACATATAGACTCACATTTTCAAGGCAGTGCTCTCACCTTGAGGAGAAAGTCCAGACTCTGAGACCATGGAACTCTAGTCTAGAACCTTGGTCTTGTCTGCACAGGCCAAAAGGCCCATTTCTCCCCAATTCTGGCATTGTCCTATTTGGACAACATCTCAAGCCCCCAGTTCTGATGTGAGCAGTCTGGATGAGGTCTCTGGCATTTTCCACACCAGAACTGGGCTGTATCAGCCTTAAAACCCATTAAAATAACTGACCTGTTATTACCTGTTACTCTCTGTTCCTTGCTGCGGTGACTGTCTGCACAGATGTCCCACTGAGCCACCTAGCACATCTGCCACCATTGCAATCCGAATGAGGCACTCAGCTATCATCACTGGGGACGTTTTCACACCACCCTCCCTAAAGCCGGGTGGAGCCATTCCGGAACGGGTCGTGCCGCCGATTCCGGAATGGCTCCGCCGCCGAAAGGCTAATTCCTGTTGGACAGCCGGAATTACCTTTAAGCCACAGAAGCCGGAGTTACAGGTCTTTTGGCTGGAGTGAGGCCGGACTTACGGCTCCGTGCGTCTGAACACACGGAGCAAGAAGCCGGACGGACGCAGGGATGGCACCGGAAGGGGCGGGGTTTGCCGCCGCGCGTGTGTGAACAAGCTGGAAATGGAGCCGGAGTGGGGCCGGACAGACGCCGGCTAGCGTCCGCCTAAAGCCCTGTGTGAAAACGTCCTATGTCAGGGTGAGCAGACATCCTCCTTTTCTAGGACATGTTCTACATTTCAACCTTCTGTCCAGGTGGCATTCCAAAACATCCTACATTTTGAGCATGACTAAGAAGGCCATTGAGGAGCACCACTTGATGATTCCCTTTGAGAAAGGGGAACATAATTGCAGCCTGTCCTACCTAAAATGGGGGGGGGGGGGGAAATAGGATGGATCCTTTTAAAAGTTCTTTTTTTCTAGGAGCAGCAGCAGACTTGCCCCCAGAGCTCAGGGCACATTTGTTATGAATTTATGTTACTGTTTTTAGTTTTTATTTGGTCATGTTCTGCATTTTTCTTGAATGCCCTACATTTTGCAGTGCCTTGTCCTCCTTTGTGGTTATGACATTTGGTCACCCTGCAATGGGTGCCTCATTCTGACCTCAGAAGTGGATAACCTGAGGCGGCAGCAGCAGACTCGCCGGACAGCTTAATGGGACGCCTGTGCAGACAACCGCTACAATGTGGGAATGGAAGACCAGGTAACAGAGGCAGTATCATGGCCAGTGCAGACAAGAACTGCTGCCATCACTC